TAAAACAGACGATTTTTGCATGAATGGTTTTTTCATTAGCTCCAAAGTATTAAAAAAGTTTTGAAGTTTTTATTTCTTGACAAAATAACTAAATCAATTTTTCATGGTTTAATTTTTTTTTAGAATTTCGCGAATATATTTAAGGAAATAAGAAATTTAGCACGAGAAAAAATATAACTCAAAACTTTTTCATCCGAAACCAGGGAGGATGCCTCGTCGACTTCGTCAACATGAAGACCATATTAAAGGCAAACTGATGTAGAACAAAAGTAATCGGTATTCGTCTTACGTTAAAACCAGCCAACAGATCTCTGTATCATACACTTTTTTAAGATATAATTGAATATAGGGCTTAGTTTTTCCGAGGAAATAATTGCGTCATATTTCCTAAGAATCTTAATAATACTATACAACAATGATGTATCTTGTTGATGAACGGATTCCTGATGAAGACAAATAACAAGTCAACAGCAAACATAAGTTGTTAGTTATGTCATTTACATAAAAAATGAGGGATAATTTGATAAACAGTCTTAAAACAGGAAGTGGTTATAGTATCACCATCTGATCAGCATCATGATCAAAAGGATAGAAAAGGGAAATTTAGAAGGGCTTCGTAAATTGACCCTATCGGATTTTTCTAAGCCTTTTCAATCCTTGATCCTGGTGAGTAACGTCTGCTAGATGCAAATAACTTACAATCGTTGATTTTATTACTCCTACCTTAACGCTATGCTGCTATTTGGCAGCATGGCAAAGAGTGTTCGGAAGACCTTCTTGGGTTAATGAACAGATTAGACATGACGACTAAATTTACTATAGAGTTAGAAAAGGATAGTATGTTACGTTTTTTAGATGTCTCCAAAATTAAATAAGGGAACAAATTGGGTAGGGATGTGCATAGGAAATCCACTAATGTAGCGTTCCTTCTCAATTTCTTCTAAAATCATACCAATGATGTTAAGGTAAGAGTAGTTAAATAAATGATGGTAAGTTGTTTGTATCTAGGGGAAGTTAAGCATCATTATCAAGAATGGGAAAGGCCAAGAAAAATCTTGGTTGACAACAATTATCCGTTTGGGTTAATTGCTAATAATTTCAAAATAGGGTGAAAGGAAACCATTATTTAGGACAAAACAAGGAATTATACAACTTTCATAAAGGGTAGATGAATTACTGAAAAGATGGAACGTTATGATGATGCATAAAGAAGTGGTAACGCTTTCCTCGGAGCTGCCTTCTTTTAGAGTCTCTTTAGACACCCTCTGCAGATCAGGTTGTTATAAGGTTTTGTGCTCACGTGGTAGTGTCTATGTGGAGGAAACACATACATAAGAGGATCCACGAAGTTAGAATAAGCCCCAGATTTACAGGATCATACGCTAATTTATTTGCATAAAGAAAAGATATGACCACATCGGGTCTCCTTCCTGCATCAACTTCACTCGAATAGATCAATGTAGAACAAGCGCAAAGTAGCCGATAAAATCACTTAATGCCTCATTAAGATCGCATAAGGAGATATAAAAGTAAGTAGAATTTCATATTTTTCGTTTATAAGCAGAGTTTTGACACTACCAAAATGCTAGCTGAATTTTCCCACACTGATATGAGTAGAGCTGACGATTCTTTGAATTTCATATATTTTTGCTTATCCATTTGGGAAAGCAAGGATATGTGAAACGTAATGTAAACATCAGCTCTATTCATAACATTATGGGAAAATTCAATCATTAGTGCTTTATCACCGTAAACGAAATAGACTAAATACACTTCATATAACTGATTTACTGGTAGTCTCAAAACTCTGTTTATAAACGAAAAATAGATAATATAGCCAATCATAATAGAAAATATAACTTTGCTTTATCGACAATCCTACCAAAGAATGTAATATGGGAAAATGCCTGGCCTTCCTTGAAATGCAAATCTGCCCTGTGACCAAAGGGCACTCATGGCAATGTAGCGTAATGGTTAGCGTGTTGATCTTACAAGCTGCACTGTCATGGTTCGACTCTCGCTGGGGTTGTTGATAAGACCTAGGTGAGGTCGAAACTGCAGTCCATCCTGGATAAGAATATCTTTTGGGCAAGCAGGGTTATATGAAATTCAAGAAAATGCTACCCATATAATTATGAGAAAATCCAACTACCAGTCCCTCATCAGCTTAAACGAAATAGCGTGAATAGATCTCATATAATTATAATTTCAACGGGCGATCTTTCTTTGTTCAGTGTTTTTTGTGATTGTTAGTAAATAATGGTTTCTGGCTCTGACGATGCCCATCACATGACGACTAAAAGCTCAGCAAGAAGTCATCAGTGTCAGGGGACGGTGAGCCAAGGTCTTCTTTGCACAACCCAACAATCCCAAGTCTAAGACGGCCCTTCTTCGACATCCAATGCTGCCAATTTACAACTGCTTTTTCAAACGAAATGAAAGATATGCCAGCATTAATCTAATAAGGGGTTCTTCGAAACCAAGCTTCTCTTAATATAAGTGGACTGCAACAATAAGTGACACTCTAATGGTTCAGAGTCACTAAAACTTAGAAAAATGTAAAGCCTCAAACGAAGGGTCAGTGAGAAAATAGCTGAAAACGGCCCAGAATGGAATGGTCGGAAGGTATATAAACAGTATGCCAAAATAGAACTTGTGGATTATTTAGTTCCTAAAAAGATAGAAAAATACGGCAAAATATTGTATATGGACTCTTAACTTGTGAATACCTGGCTTCTGAGGCTCATCTTTATTCTTTGCTTTCTCTTTTCATCTAGACCTCACATGGACCATAAGTTCAGGTGAGTTTATCTATACAGTTTGGTTTCGTTTTACGTCTCTGATCACTCAGAGTAAGGCCAGTTGGGCCATTTGGGCAAATTCTTTACTAACTCTTGCAGACTAGTACAATGTGTTCTGTTTTCTGGACATTTTAATGTTAATAGACATCTCGTAGAGCCCTAAGGACTCAAATTAGCATCACTAAGCGTGGGAGGCTCAGATGTTACCCTTGCTTTTATGACTTGCAGCGCTGTAGAATTCGGGACGAAAGCTTAGCACGCTTTCACCGGAATCAAAGGAGATTCCATCGAAAACAATGTCAACAAGAATGTTCTACTAAAGCTAATCGACAGATGGCCGAGAGGAATCCACCATCGTCTTCTGGTGGAATTAACCTTTGAATCTCTTCACCAAACACTTTCACTTGAAATGGAAGTAAGCTCAACACTTATAAAACAAAACATTCCTCGAAACCAGAATTTTCTTCGCATATAAAATTCATTTTACAATCCCAGACCTTTCACCTATAGGCTTTGCTCGTCTTCAACTGTACAACCTTCTTGGAGGCAAAGCGAGACTACGAAGGAGGGTTCAGTCTACCCGAATCTCGTTCCAATGCATCAGCTTAGCCCTTCGGTCCTTCAAATATAAAAAATGGTATAATTTGAAGAATCTCTTGATAGAAGTTATAATGGTAAACCTTTTATTTCGTCCATACACGTGGGTTAAAAGGATTCGTAAATTAGCCTCATTAGATACGGAAAGAGGGTTACCTCGGACTATAGATGGCTGGATATTGTGAAGATATCGGCCCACAATGCTTGATGAATCGGGGGGTTTATTTAAACGATCACAAATTCTTGAATTTGAAGTTAGTAAGCTTAGGTTACCTAAAGCCTGCTCATATCGTCATGGGAAAAGATCGAATAGCAATCTTTAAATTACCCAAGACAGCATAGGGAAGATGCGATATACAAGGCAAGTCAAGCCTCATTTAAATCATACTATTAATGGGATTGTGAATTAAACCAACATTTATTTGTCCGTTTAATTGACAATATTACTTATTTTCAAAGGGAATAGGCCAAGACGAGGTTGAAATTGCAATTCAGCCTTTTGGGGGTGAGCGAATGTGAGAAACGTGAGCTACCCACATCTAAATAACCTTAAATGAGAGTCTGAATAGGTCCTTGTAAATTTTCCAATCCAATCGACGGCATTCCGTGTATTCGGTATTCAGGAATTCTTGAATCAGAAGATAGCTAGCCTCGGTTGTCTATGGTCTGCTCAGATTGTCATGGGAAAAACTACACTATTAATCCTTAAATAATTTAAAGCGTCCCAAGTTAATAAGAGCCTCGTCAAATACCAAAATCGACCCTTTTCAACGGCCTAAGGCCAGCCTGACCTGTAGGAAGGTTGCGTCATCAAGGAAAAGGTCACAGAGCCTTGCGTAATTCTCAAGCTTGGAGTTGGCAATAGCCAAACCAGTCTGTAGGAAGCGTATTTCTTCTCCGCTGGCCGCCAAAAGAGCAGCAATCCCGTCTGCCGGCGCAACCGTCCTTTTGCCCGGTCTGCCACGCTTCTGTCCGGACACTTTCCAGCGTTCCTTTAAGGCCTTTCTCTGGTCAGCATTTGCGATATCATCAGTCATCGACCTTAGCTCCTTGCCGTCGCATTCTGTAGGACAGTTCAATTGACTCATTTCTGCCTTGCTTCCGGCTGGTTCAGCCACAAACTGACCGCACGAATTGACTCTCTGAACACTGGTACTGAGGCCACTAGGGTCAGCTCGGAGTTCGCAGCCCTCGGCTGAAATGTTACCGCCTGGGTCAGAGAAACTACCTGGAAGCTAAATTGTAGAAGATAAAAAGGGAGAGAGAGAGATAATAAATAATATAGATGAAAGTCAGTCGTCCGTGGGATAGAGATGAGAATAGGTCACACATACCACAGAGTTCCCACTTTAAAAATGTATAAAATAATTTTCGGTAAAAGAGATTTACCATCATGAGTACTTCTTAACTAAGAACTTAGTAAGCCTTAGTCGCTTCAGGTTGGCCAAGGACTGATTGTCCACAATCAAGTAATCATTCACAGAATCCGAGAAAATATGTCATAATACATGTGAATAAAAGGTAGTTTTTGAGGAAATTCTTAGTTTATATATCAGATGTATTCAGCCTATTTCGTCTAAGGTGATGAAGGACTA